TCTGGCCGCCGCATTCTGCACCACCTGTAGTTTCCGCAGCAGCCTCAAAGGTAGCCCCACGTAGAGCGCATTACAGTGGTCTAATCTTGATATTACGAGCGCATGCACCAAGGTAGTGAGCGCCCCAACATCAAGGTAGGATCGCAGCTGGGCTATCCGCCTAAGATGAAAAAAGGCGGTACGGACCACGGACGCCACCTGAGATTCCATAGTGAGCTCCGGGTCCAGATGGATCCCCAAGCTGAGGACAGGGTCACCCCTCCAAAAGTGAGGGAGTTTCCCAAATCCCCAACTGTGGGGGCACCCACCCTTAGTACCTCCGTCTTGTCTGGGTTCAGCCTCAGCCCGTTCTCCTGCATCCATTCCAGTACGGTCTCCAGGCAGCACTGAAGGGACAGAACGGCATCTCCTGCAGTTGGTGAAAAGGAGATGTAGAGTTGCGTGTCATCCGCATACTGATGGCACAATGCTCCACACCCCCTGATGACCCCACCCAGCGGCCTCATATAGATGTTAAACAGCATTGGGGAGATGATCGACCCCTGTGGGACCCCACAATTGAGGCTCCACGGGGCCGAGACACTCTCCCCAAGCTGTACTCTGAATGTACATGAATGAATGAATGAATGAATGAATGAATGAATGAATGAATGAATGAATTTTAAAAATCCCACAATGAATTGAAGCAACGTTGTAAAGAAAAATGGGCTAAAATTCCTCCACAATGATGTGAGAGACTGGCAAAGTCATACCTCGCTGGGTATTTTCAAAAAGCAACTAAAAACACATGTTTCAGCAGGCCTTCCCCCCTTCCCCTGAAGTTGTATCTACCTAATTTTCAGACGTGCTAAGGACCAGATGATTTTTATTACATCCTGATTCCTAAAACTCTAGAATTCAAAGAGTGTGTACTTCCTTTTCCACAAGACTATACTATTTTATTTGTTTGGTTTATTTGTTTCATTTATAAGCTGCCCTTCTCTGAATAAGGATATCACAATAATCAAAAATAGAATTAAAAACATATGTTAAACATTAAAAAAGCAATTAAACATTTATCAATATGCTGCCCTATAGCAGAAAGTTATCTTGATGACTTCATAATCACAATGTATTTTAGAAACATATCAGATGCAAAACTATGCAGTCAAAAATAAAGCTAAAATATAGCAAGAACTAACACTCTCAGCAAAAGCAAAATTAAAAGCACAGATTTTAAAACTGAGAGGCCCAGGTTAAAGTAGTTATTCAATGGCCTTGATGAATAGAAATTACTTTCTAATATACTGTAGAACTGGCTGTAGCAGCAAACCAGAATTTAAATTTAGCAGTGTGTTTAATTTGTGTAATTAAGCATATATTAATCCACTTTGTATTAACTAAATATCTGGCAAAGCCTTTGTGTTTCTCAATTTCCCCATTGTACAGTAGTGTAATATTTGGAATGAAGAAAGTTTAGAATGAAGAAGGTTGATGGAGATGATTACCATTGACAGATGGTTGCTTAGACTTTCTATGCCTCTGCAAAGGTGCTAGAAGTGTGTATTTTCTTTGCAGTTTTCATTTACTGATCCAATATTTATTATTTTGGTAGGTTATTTGTAGATTATTTTTGTAGTAGATATTTCATATTGATACATTTTATCAATATTTCTGTATGTATTAAATATTAGCATAATTTTCACCACTACTGTCATAACACTCTGCTTTCTTCCTCTTAACATGAAGAAGAGAGTAAAAGAATTAGGATAGTCTTTCACAATATAGCTACCACGTGGAGACTGTTCTAGGGCCAAATGAAATTTTACACTGCAGCTGCCTGCAATGTTACCATGACTCCTGCTTCCTTCTTTCAGTACACCCTTGGGAGGCAATGATTAGCAGTGGAGAAACTGTGAGGATGTTGCAAAGGAGAAGCAGCTTACAGATTAATAAGTGAGCTATCTGTGGTTCTTGCATACCTGAAACTGCAGCCATATGATCCACATGATGAATTTTGTATGTCAGATCACCACATAGACTGGCCCCAACAAAATTGACTCTCTTCATGTCATCATAAGGAATTTGAAACAATGGCTTGTTTTGCTATAGAGGCAAAACCATATGGTGAGGATGCGGTATAAATCACAAGCTATGGCATCCAGGTTACCTAGAGGTGGCTCTAAGTGGCTTCCTGTTGTCTGCTTATCTCCCCATCCCACCCCTACATAACAGTCCCTTTTAGACTCTAATGACTGAAAATAACAGAACTACACACTCTCTTTTTCTGTTTATCGGTTTCATTTTATTTAAAAGGGAAGGTATTTTTTAATGATGGAAGAAATTGTGGGAAATGTTTGAACGATTTGTGTCTCTGATAAAATTTCTGTCTGTAGCACATTTAAGCATTGTAAGATTTTAACATAGCCTTCTGAAGAGACATTTGAAGTCATTTTACTTAATTCCAACTGAATGCTTGCAGGCTAATAATGAATATACTATGTCACTAATCCCAAATCCTTCTAGAAAATTTCTTCCCTTTTATT